ACATGTGCTGTAAATTTTAAAACTTCAGATCAACAAAGTGTTGGTTTACATGCAGTCATTAAGCTAAAGATATTAATAAGAAAAGGCAGCATTTTACAGATATGAGTAAAGTTAGCAACCAATCAATGTGGCAGCTCATTCTGCATTTAGTATTTCTTGCCTTTGAATGAAATTGCTTGCTGCTAATTCATTAACGCATTTATTACCATTAAAAAAAAACAGAGTTTCTCAAGCTTTCTCCAGTCACAGCCTTTTTTTGATCCAATAATACCTTCTGCAACTACTTCATTATCCTTCCATACACTACCTTGAGTAAAGATATAATTTTTCAAAAAATTGCAGAATATTAATTAGATTTATAGAGTTCAAAGGAAGAAAATCTTTCTATAAATTACAATATATATACAGTCAAAAATGGTTAATCCGGACTCACCGGGACTTCAGCGATTCAGGATTATTGATTTTTCCGGATTATAGATCATCAGTTTAAATCTGGTAAGATGGCATGCAGAAATTATAAAATTAAAAATATGAAACCATAATTTATGAAATAAAGAACAATTATGATCTAAAGGATATCAAAATTTACAAAAAAAAAGCTTATTATTTATTTGTTTACTTTATTAAACACAAAATCGAAATTTTTTTCGTTTTCAATAACCTCTGTGCCACTTTCTTCACTATCGGAAGCAAATTATAATGACGAGGAATTTGATTTAAATCATATCAAAGATGGAGTACATCGAGATGAAATACTACATTTAGTAACGAATTATAAGCCAAATAAAATAAAAACATCTGTCCTGAAGATAAGGATAGTGCTGACAGATCAACTTCAATTCATTGCGCGCCACGGCGTCCGAATTAATGACTTTTGACTGTATATATATAATTAAAAACATAAAGTAAGAAATTTAGAACTAATATTTCACAAAGATAAGAAATTGAAATTCATAATTAAGCAATGATTTTTGTAGAAGAGAGATTTCAATTAATTTCAAGGTTCCTCTCCCCTGATGAAGCGACATTGAGATTGACTGAATTCCTCTTCTGTTTTTGTTCATTTTTCTTTTAATTTTATAATTTTTGAAGAGGGGTTTTGCTTGTTTTGAAATGTTTTGGTTTAAAAATAATTTTAATTTATTATTGCATTTCTATGATTATTTGAAATTTATTAATTATGAATTTCAATTTCTGTTCTTTGTGAAATATTAGTTCTAAATTTCTTACTATGTCTTTAATGATAATTTTTCTGCAGTTTAATGCATGAAAATAACTAGGCATGTTTGTGTTTTGTTGTAATGGAATAAGCTGGCTGTGTTAAGTTTTCATGGTTTTCCTTAAGTACAATGCAAGCACAAGCCATTACTCTCATCCTAAATAAAGACAGATAGCCCTCATTTCATCCTTTGCCATTATGAAGTATAGTTACTCATACCATGAACTGTTGGCAATAACTTGCCAATTAAATATATCTTTCATTCAACATAGCAACCACGTAAAACCTATACAAATACCAACAGCAAAACTAAATAATAAGCATAAATGTGATTTATTTCCTCAAATCATTCCTTATTTTATTCTGATGGTTAATTTGCCTTTATCAATCTTATGCATCCACAAAACCATTTCATGAAATATGTATAATTTCAATGTTTTGGAATTAAAATATTCATAATATGCAATCATTTTGGAGGGAAAAACCTAATGTTGTTTTTTTTCATAATTTGATATCAGCATTATAACAATAAGGGTAATCTCAGAGGTATAGCAAGTCAATAAAGGGTAAACAAATTATAGATGAAGATTAAACAGCAGTTAACACAAGACAGTTTTGATTGTACTTGGTTGCAAGATTTCATCTGTTAGTTATTGAGAAATTACTGCAACAAAAAAAAAAAAAAAAGAAGAGTGGGGGCATTATTGGCAAGTTAGCATCTACAGAAATTATATGTATCAGTGAATACATAAATACTGGTTAAATTTTTTAAAAAGACCAAATAAAAACTAAACTATTATTATGTCTAAGGTATGGCACATAGCATTATAAAAGTATTATAGAATTTTTTTAAATATCCTCGATCAGTTGGATATTATTTCAATTAAATGTAATGAAATTATGTAAATTTGATGCAGTATTAAAAATAAAGCTATAAATTAAGAAGAAGCACTTATTGTTTAACAGTTGCTAAATTTGATTAAGCATTTAAGGATATAATTTTAAAGAAAAATTAAAAGATCAAATTCCATGTCAAATAGTAGCACTCCGGAAATTAGCTATTTTCAAGGCTACACAGAAGATAAATTAAAGATCTTATGTCTCATAGTATGGCAATACCTGCCATGTTGAATGAATAATAAATACTTTGGTAGCATAACATAAAATTCTAGAGAATTTCAAAGAGCCCATTAGAAAAATTTCTGTCATAAAAATAATCATAATACACACATTTTGCAGGATACAAGATCATATTTGCAATATAAAAGTATAAATGAAAGCCTAATTATCTAATTAATTGATTATAATAATATAAAAATTAATTGCACCTGAAACTCTGAATAAATTTTATTTTATTCATGATTCTTTAGTCTGAGAGTCCTTAGTATGAAAATTAAGAATAAATCCACCTTATATACTCTAAACCAAAACTATTTCATGAAATATGTATTAAATAAAATGTTTTAAGAAAAGTAATACTTTCTTCTTTTCAGGAAGTTTGGGAAAAAATAAAAATATCCTCATAATGAATCACTGAAAGCTTATTACAGTTGCCCTTAGTAGAAGATCTTCTAACTGTAGTAATATATATAAAGCAGATATCATATGTATATTAAAATTTGCTTTTTGTCAGATTTCTTCCTTAGGCAGATGAATAGGTGACAGACGACAGACAGAGGAGACCAGGCAGAGAAGAAAGATAATTTTGAAAAAAAAAAAAAAAAAAAAGTAGCAATTCAAACCAGTTCAATTCCCAATGAATGGGATGGACTCTTGGGAGTTTTCATAGTTTTTTCCATGGAGCCAGTTTCCTTTCAAAAGTGTTTAATGAAGGCATCTCTTCATATAGGCAGATATCCCTCAGGTTGCTTTGCCTTATCAACTTACCTAACCTATTCCATTTTGTTTACCATATTCATACTGAAATAGTAAACAATCTAAGAAAAGAGAATTAATAAATTTAAACCTACTAATACAAGACTCTAGAGAAACTGCTGAATTTTTACTTGAAATTTTAAAATATGAAAACTTAGAATTACAATCAACAATGGCATTAATAGATTTAAAATTTATAATAAAAAAAATCTGAAAGCTTTCAGATTTTATGTTATGTCCAAAAGGGTGTTTTTTCATTTCCACACACATCTACATTTTGAAAGCATTTGGGCTAATGTCGCTTTGGGCTAAAAATATTTAAAATCAGCATAGCTTTAGAATTTCCAATAGACAGTTTCACGTGCTGGAGATAATTTCTTTTTTCGTACAGTGTTGTCATTGCTCTCTTTGAAATTGTTGAGTTTGTTAACCAAACATTCGTTAAAGTTTTGAAAAGTATGAAATAGACATTAAAACAAATTCAAAATTTTATATTCAGGCTTCCAGGTGTTTATATTCGGGTGGAGGATTACGTTATTTAAAATTTGATGGCTCTAGGATCATTGATTTTTCACAATGTGAGAAACATAAATACGTTCATGCAAATTCTTCCTTACGTAATTTCTTTAAATGCAATATAGAATGATAATATTTGGTGGCAACAATCTGAAAAATGACTCAGCGCAAAATGCTGTTTGCAGACTAATAGCGCTTTGGGCTAATAATAATTAAATATTGACATTTTATATTACAAATCAAGTCAAAAAGTTTAAAAACCAGTTATATATCAATAAAATTTCAACATAAAAACTGGAAAAATCACAAAAGTATGTAAAATTCGTTTCCACAGTGTTTTCTTTATTTTCCTTAGCTTTTGATTGTAAATGCTCTGACATAAAAATGGCTTTAATGCATTAGTTTTTAAAAAATAACACTTTGCCTTTTTACAAGTAATTACTGTTCTACTTAGAAATCGGGTAAAAAGTACGGCTTTTCTGAAAATTAAATGACAATAAAGAATTAGAACAAGATGGTTGACAATGCTTTAATAAAACATAAGTTGTGCTCTCAAGATTATCCTTTGTATTCAGTTTCACTTGATTTAGTAGCCATAGTTTCACACAGTAGATCAGAGTGCATACATAATATTACTAAGCTGAAACTGGAAAAATTAAAATACTGAACAGTGTATTCATGCTTAATGTTTTATATGTTATTAAAAAATTAGATAGCTAAATTAGACTGAATTTCATTATAGACTTCATTTCCTAACCTTTCGCTAGAAAGGGTGAACTGTCACACTGAAAATAATGAGGACTACTTAAATTGCTGTCATATGGCAGAGCGCATCAAATTGTCCAACACTGACTCTGGCATTTGTATAAAATACAGCTATATGAACAAATTCATTGATTTAAAACAAGATTCTTAATAATCAATATCAAGGCACAAAAGCTAATGTCTGAAAACCAAACCAAAAAGTCAATGCCATTATTCCTATTCTGTTCACTTTGCACTCTTGCTAGCAACACTTACCTGGGATTCACTAGGCAATGCATGCCTGGTGGAATAGCACAATATGTAATACAATTTGATCACATTTTCCACATCATGCTCTTCTGTTGTTCTGAAACTCACAGGTATCATGTTATACATTACTATAATCAGTAATGCAAAGCACATCACCAGCAATGAGTTGAGTGAACATTCGCTTATATGAGATATACAGACAATCCTACTTTTCTTTCAGTGACTGCTTATCATTAATGACACTTTAAAGTGTATTTTTTGGTGATATGCAGAATAAGAAGAATGTATTATCAGATTGGAAAATCATATCTATAATAAAAAATATCTGTATTAAGAAGGATAATGTATTAAGAAATAAATAATAAATTTTAAACACCTTCATGTATTTTCATATGTTTCTTAAGTTTACTTGGCACAAGAAATCTTCTTTCACAATTATCTGCAGGACATCTAAAAAGAAAAACTATTGATAAAAATCTTGCTTAAATTGTAAGACAGAAAAAATCTTTAAAATTATTTATACCTACAGAAATGGCGGCATCCCAGTATGGATATATTCATGCTTCTGAAGCCAATTATGTTTATTAAATTCTTTATCACAGTAAGAACACTATAAAAATAATTTTTGTAAAATTAAAAGTAAATATAAAGTATAAGTACAATTTTTCTTTAACTAATGCAAAATATACTGAATACCTATTTATAAAAATTTATTAAAACTAGATCTATAATTTCATCTGAAAATATTTTTTTCAATGAATCAAATACGATTATACATCCCTGAAATGATAATTAAAAACCCAGAATTGCCATCTATGCTTTTATTAATCATTTAAAAATCTACAAAGTATTTACAGATTCTTTATAAACATGTGTCAAGGGCTAAGATCAATACAGTCAAAAGTCGTTAATCCGGACTCGTCGGGACTTCGGCGATTCCGGATTATAGATCATCAGTTTAAATCTGGTACGATAGCATGCAGAAATTATAAAATAAATATAAAATCATAATTTATGAAATAAAGAACAATTATGATCTAAAGAGTATCAAAATTTACAAAAAAAAATGGCTTAAAATTTATTTGTTTACTTTATTAAACATTTCTTTCAATGTAAGTTGTTTAAGTTGCTTCGTTTTATGTGATAATACTTTCTCTTTAATTCTATAAACAGACATAATTTCTTGTTAAGTTACAAAGTTCCGCTGTTCAAGTCCTATAATTGCTGTGTCGAGAATACCGACTAATTTCTCAATCAAAATTTTTTCGTTTTCAATAACCTCTGTGTTACTTTCTTCACTATCGGAAGCGAATTATAATGACGAGGAATTTGATTTAAATCATATCAGAGTACATCAAGATGAAATACTACATTTAGTAAGGAATTATAAGCCAAATAAAATAAAAACATCTGCCCTGAAGATAAGGATAGTGCTGACAGATCAACTTCCAATTCATTGCGCGCCGCGGCACAATTTCATTTAAATCATATCAAAGACGGAGTACATCGAGATGAAATACTACATTTAGTAAGGAATTATAAGCCAAATAAAATAAAAACATCTGCCCTGAAGATAAGGATAGTGCTGACAGATCAACTTCCAATTCATTTTACCCTGATTAACATTTTTAAGCATATTAATCCAATAATTAAAAATATTAGTATAAAAATATCTACCATTCTGATTAAGAATTTATGCAATTTCATGATTTTACACATTATATAATAATTTTAACTTACTTTGGGTACATTAATTTTTGTTACATAAATTTTTATTTTAAGAGCTAGATTCAACATAGCTTATAATTATTTCTTCAGATTTTATGAAATTTCTACACTGATATTCAGTTCTATATAATTTCATGATTTTATCCTTAATGAAATAACTTTTGCCCATTTATGAGATGTTTTATATTTACTTTATTTACCTATTACGTTCATACTTGCTTCTAGTTTGTCTATATAATAATAGCTGTAATATTTTTTAATGTAGTTGTCCTCTGTTATATTTATGTAGTGAATATGGTTTTCATGTATTTTAACTTTGTAAATAATTAGTCCAGAATGTATATAAAACCATATTTGGCTTATTGCATCCTATTCAAACCAACCTGCCAACCACAAAAAGTACCAATTGCTTAAAAACATTTTCTTTATTGCAATACCCTTCATTCTTTCTAAGTTAAAATCAAAAATTTGCAGTGCTTCAAAATCTGAATTTATATAGAGATAAATGTACCTAAAAATCCTCCATAGTGACAAAATGTGTATCAGATTTTTTCCATTTTAAGATAGCATGCAGTAAACAATTTTCTGTAAAAAGACATATGCACCAATGTTGCTTATTCCAACAGTTAAATGTGTTATTCTTATACCTTATAATGTTTTTATTTTTAAAATAAGCATTATCAATAAAAAATGTGTTTTTCCATTTTGTGCCTTATTTATTAAAATAACTAACTTAAAATATGTGTTTCTTATATTTAGAAAAATGTTACAATCAAAATGGGTTGATAATAAAGTACTTTCTCACACTATCAAGATGGAACACAGTATATCTTTCTTTAAAAAGAAAAGAATGAATGAAAGAAAAAAACAACAAAAAATTCTTTAGCACATTCTATCTCATAACAGACACTGACTACATTATCATAAATCTTTTCTCAAATTATTCATTATTTTGTTTACTTTGAATAATTTGTTTCACTGCTTAGAAATTACATTTCATTACTTATAAAAAAGTCTTCTGGAAAAATCTCTTAAAAACGCTGATATATTTAGCAACATTTAAAAAGAAAATTAATGAAGAAAACTAACATGCTTTATTAAAAAAAAAAAAAAAAAAAAACTTTAATTCACTAAGTAATGAGAAATATTTATTTGTACATATCATATATATATGATTAAAAAAAAAAAGATCAAGCCATATGGATTGGCAGAGCTTTCTATGCAGAAATATTACTGTATGTCTACCGGCAATACCCTGCATTAATTAATAAGAAGTTCTTGTTTTCAGATATTATAGTGATTGGTTTGGAAATTTTTGGCAGGAAAAGATTTCAGCAAAATCCATCTATGTAAAGATGCACATTCTGCATGTTCTAATTCTTTAAAGATTATACCCCTACTAGTAGCTCCTACTGGCTAAGGCCACTGAATACTGAGAGTTTGACACAGTTTTGAGCTCAGGCAAGCAGCATGGTTGATGTTTGTGTTTTTTCCAAGGAAAATGAAAACATAAGCCAGATTTCCTTAAAATGTCCTCCATAAAAGCCTTCATCTCCTTCCTTGCGAGCTTTACCACACTTAATTAACCTAACCTAATCTTTAAAGATTAAAATTGTTCATAACTTTAACATGTCATTTTTGAGGATTATTATAAGCATATATATCTGATTCCCAAAACTTATCAAAATGAAATGTATAAAAATAAACCGTTATTCAGACCTCACATATATTTTTTAACACATAACAACCTTTGTTTTTACCCTCTATAATTAAAAATCACACAGCATATGTACACTTAATCGTTTAACACAATGCTGGCCATTAAAATTTTGAACATCTGGAAGGAATAATCTGACAAATGTCAAAATGCCATGAAAGAAAGAAGTTGGAATATGAAAATGATTAGTATTTCAGCACATTAAGACTGCAGGAGGGAGAAAGGACATCTGAAACACTGCATAAAAGAAAAGTTGTGTAGTGGATTTCTCATTCGGAAAGTGCTTTGTACGGTCAGAGTTTGCTCAATATCGTGTTATGCCTCGAATCAAAAGAAGAAATGCTTACCAGCAAGTGTCGGAATTCGACAGAGGCAGGATCATTGCCTATTGAGAGTGTGAATTATTATTCCATAATATCTCCCATCGCACTCGCTGACATCCAAGCACTGTCATGGGAGTATGGAATTAATGGATTGCTGAAGGTCATACTGAACAGCATGCAGGATCTCAAATCCTTCCCATGACTAATGCTGAAGAGGAGAGACATACTGTGAGGTCAAAATTGCAAAACTGTACAATCGCATGATCGACCATTACACATGGAAATAGCATGTTTGCAGCATGCCCAATATCCGCTTGTAGGGTGCATTGACATTTGCAACAGCATGGACTATCAGCATGGCGACCATCATTTTGGCTTCCCTTGACAATGCAGCACAGAGGGAGACAGTGACTTTGGTGTGCCAAATGACAAAGCTGAATACAAGAGTGACACAATGTCTTTTTTCAGACGAGTCTTGGTTCTGTGTGCAGTATTCTGATGGCCATATATACGTGTCTGGAGGCTCCGAAGGGACGCATGCCGTCTGCTTGCATTCGACAGAGGCCATGAACTTGGTGTAATGGTTTGGGTAGCCAATGGGTACACGACAAGCACATCTATAGTTCAGATCAATGCTAATTTGAACACAGATCAGTACATTTCTGAAATCTTATGCCCAGTGGTTGTGCCTTATCTTCGAGGCCTGCCAAACGCCATCTTTCTACAAGATAATGCAAAAACACATGCTGCAGTCGTGTTCTGACCTTCCTTGATATACAGGGTATTCGATTGCTGCCCTGGCCTGCATAGTCTCCAGATCTGTCACCCATTGAAAACATCTGGTCATAGGTTGTTGAGAGACTCGCCCACCACCCCTCTCCAGCTAATATGGTTAATGAAGTGTGACATAGACTTAAAGCAGCATGGAATGAGTTGCCCGTTTCTGTCATCCAAACCTACTCCGACTCCCTGCCTAACCACATAAGGGCCATGTTAACTGCCAACTGTTTCTACTAATTTCACCCCCCTGTAAACCCTCAGACTACTTACAAATTTCATCATTTTGTCTTCAAGCCATACTGTATTAAATATCTACTTTGTATTTGCTTTCCTTCAAGGTGTTCCAGTTTTAATGGCTAGCAGTGTATTAGTCATTTGGTGCTAAATGATTACATGTACTGTACATCCATCAATTGTCTCCTCTTAAGAAAGGTACAGCTTAGTCTTAGTATGGTGATCATACATGTAAAGGATAGATGCTCACTGCCATAGAATGGAAAATTATGCCTGTAAAAGAAATTTGCTGTTACCATATCAAAGATCTCTTTGAACCAGAAGTTATCTTAAAATTTCTCATACTAGCCTAATGCACAGAAAGTTTCATCAGCTCTGTCTCCAGTTTGGCACCATAGGCAAACAGTACAGTTAGTGTCCCATGAAAATTAAATACATTAACAATTCAAATTGAAATTTTATAATATTTGAAATTGAGAAGTCATGCTTAAATTGTTCATATTTTACTAAGAAAATTAATGCTAATCAATATAAATTACCTTAAAAATTTTGTGCCTTTTCTTTTTATGAATAAGATCTATATGTTTTTTCAATGTGGCTTTTGATTTTAAAATTTCAAAACAGCCATCTACAGAGCACCTATAAAAAATAAGCAATTCTGGAAATAATGTACTTATTCATTCTTTAAAATAAGTAACTTTAGTAGTATTCTCCGTAGAAATAATTATTATGATCAGTATAGTCAAAAAATTTTAATGCAGATGCAGTATTTCTTTAACAAGGATAACATGAAATCAATATATGCATTATTTCTATTTTGATATAAAAATCAAAAGGTTTATGGCATAAAATATGAAAATAATAATGTATTAAATTTCATCTAAGAACATTGAAATTAAAAGAAAAACAAGACAAAATGAAATGCAAAATATAAAATGTGACTTAATGTATTACATTTTCAATTATACCAAATATTTTTTCCTAAAATGAACATGAACATACATAATAAATACATATGCATGTATATTCACATATGATACAAATATATATATGATAAATGCATGTTCATAAAATGTATATGATTATATATGCAGTTCTGGGAAGGAAGAAGTTATTTTAAGTAAGTATTATGACAATATACAGTCAAAAGTCGTTAATTCGGACACCCATAATTCGGAATGATCTATAATCCGGACCTCAAAGCTAAAAACTTTTCTGCGCATGCTCCGCGTTGACCTATGTGCATAGGCATTTACGCGTGCGCGTAAGACCTCTTACGACTGCGCATTTGCGTGTGCGCAAGCGCAGAATACGTTTTCACGTGCGTGTTTTATGTATAACGGACGGTGTAAGCTAAAATTATCTAATTATCTTCAGTTAATGTTGATGATGCGTTGTTCCTTAATTTTCGAATTGGATCTGGCTTATTATTTTTTGCAGACTGTAAGAGCAATACTAAAAAAGTAAACTTGAACTTTCGATTATGTCAAATAGAATTTTTGATTCTGGAGCTCCCAAAGGATCGTACAAAACGAAAGTATGTTTCGATGTCCATCAAACAAAAAGTGGATAAAGACATGAAGAATGTGACAGAGAGGTTAGTGAAAACAAAAAAATTTCAATTGACAAGTTAGTCGGTATTCTCGGCACAGCAATTAACGGGACTTGAACAGCGGAACTTTGTAAGTGAACAAAAAATTATCTCTGTTTATAGAATTAAAGAGAAAGTATTATCACATAAAACGAAACAACTTACATTGAAAGAAATGTTTAATAAAGTAAACAAATAAATATTAAGCTTTTTTTTTTTGTAAATTTTGATACTCTTTAGATCATAATTGTTCTTTGTTTCATAAATTACGGTTTCATATTTTTAATTTTAGAATTTCTGCATGCCATCTTATGCGATTTAAACTGATGATCTATAATCCGGAAAAATCGATAATCCGGAATCGCCGAAGTCCCGACGAGTCCGGATTAACGACTTTTGACTGTATTAGTATTTAAGATAACAATTTTCATACATTGTACAATTTACCAGTACTAACTTGTGCTTACCTAACACAATCTGAGCAGATGTATTACTCAATGTGCATTCATTAACACACTTATGGAAAACAAATTCAATAATCAATCGCCGAAGTCCCGACGAGTCCGGATTAACGACTTTTGACTGTATTAGTATTTAAGATAACAATTTTCATACATTGTACAATTTACCAGTACTAACTTGTGCTTACCTAACACAATCTGAGCAGATGTATTACTCAATGTGCATTCATTAACACACTTATGGAAAACAAATTCAATAACATCAAACTAAAAAAGTCAAAAAAGGTTCGATTAATTATAGACCAAAATTCCATCACCTTTTTACTGATGAAACAAATAGCATTTTATTTTTTCTATTGTGGTTATTTCTTTTAAAATAAATCAGCTGCCCTGTACATTCAACTGAACACCTCCAATAAACTTTTCTCTTAAATTTTACTCCATGTATAAATTTTTGCAAAGTTCTAAACTTTTTTAGGTACTTATGTATTATCTTGTCAACCATGAAAGTTGGCTCGAACTATGAAAGTTGGTGGAGATTCTGCAAAAATTGCATCAATCATTCTTGCAGAATTCTTAATGAACTGATGCCTCTTTATTTAATGAACAATCAGTATTCAACATGCTTCATTTTTACAAAAAGGTTTCATTCAGTTTCTACATTTTTGTTAACCCTCTTATTTTACAGGCAGCTAGTTCTCTTTAGAATGCTACTAGTACAAGGTAATTTTTCCAATCTATTACTGATCTTTCAGCCATATCCAACTTTCTTTACCCCATTTCACAAATGTTACTTCTCTCAACCAGCTTTAAATGAACTGAACACTAGTCACAACTGTGATTCTACAGCCTTTGAACCACATTCCTTTTCAAACAGATATTTTCACGAGACAATTTTTTACATTGAATGGCCATTGTTTTTCCATTTTTAAGTAAAATATAATAACATGTCTATTAATGAACTTTTTTTTTTAATTTTTTTTTATGTAGGATCTCATTACTTTGAAAATAATCCAGTGCTAGCTTTCTGTAGAAAGCAGGTCCCAAATTTTTATCTTCCCCCCCCCCTGCGATGCATGAAAAATACAGCAATAGCAGTTAATTTATATTCTTGTTTATAAAAATGAAAGATGGTTTATCAAAATTAATTGGGGTAACATCAAATGAAAGTCTGCATGTTATAAATGTGCTGCTACATCCTGCTTATTCATAACTGGCACTAAATCTCACTGCTTGGTGACAGTTTTATGATCGACAACATAACATGCAAGTACCCTTTTTTTTTAGAACTAATTTACAGAAAAGTATTCAAGTTTACTACACGAAACAATCCGTTCACAACATATTAAGCACATGCAAGTCAAATTTAGCTGAAAATTAACCGATTAAACATAATATTAACCATATGTAAGATAAATTTAGCTTGTTCAGGTTGTCAGAGCAGGAGATTTAAAAAATTTGCAATGCCGTCACTGGAACTTGAAATCTATACCTCCTAGTTGCTAGCCAGATATGTTTTCCAATTATATCATGAAGGCATGCAGTAAAGCGGGAGAATAATCAAATTATATCTGCTAGAGTTAGCAGAAAAGCTTAACCATGTAAGTAAAGAAAACATTATGTATGTAAAAATTAGCAGGTTAACCATGCTATTTAGAGCAATTAAATCCACGTTTGATGGAAAGCATGATATTAAGTATACATTAGCAAAAATTAGCATAAAAGAGTAAAAGAATATAATAAATAAGAATAAAACATAAACTTGTACTATTAAGGAAGTTGGTAGAGCCATATTACCCTACAGGAAACAATTTTTATGTGCATTCAAAATTCCAATGAATAGATCTTGGCCATTATGTTTTTAACTTCACATCAAAACAGATTTTCGAATAGTATTTGCTTTCAGTAACCACCAGTTAGATTCTATAGACTGGATATGTGTACAAATAAGTAAAATTTGTGGAATGATTAAATGATACCCATGCCCGCCTAGGGATAAATATGCCTGCCATTCATCAGTTACAGCAGTTGTTTCTCCTGTCACGTGCTTTTTAATCAGTTTCCACTGGTTAGTTGTTTGTCAGATATATTTCCGAGTTGGAAATCTTTTTCCCTCTCACTGAAACATTTTAATGCTCCATTTTTCTTCAAATACTCTTACTATGTTATATTTTTTTTTTCTTATATTAATTTTACAGATTTCTATAATGTGGCCAACATGACCAATTTTTTTCGAATCGATTCCATGTAGAATGATCAGCTTTCTACATTATGAATATCAGTTCACTGTTTTGGATTAAGTCCCTTGATTGTCATTTCTACTCAGTAAAATAGCACTTTTGTAACTTTCTCCCTGAGAAAAAATGTAAGTTAGCAATAAACAAGTCTCACTTAGGAGAAAGTTCACTTTAGTGAATCAAGTAATTTTTGCCTAAGGCATGAGCCAACAGTAGCAGAACATGCTTAATACATTTTTATTGTAGCATAATTTCATGTTATGCCCCTTAGAACATATTCCATATTCCTTCCGAGATGCATCACTGTACACATCCCTGTCTCTGACAACTTCCTTAATTAAACAAAAAATAATTACATCTATTCACTGCTAAAAAATTCAGAAAAGATAATGTGAAAATCAGAGAAAATAAATAAGTGAAGAATTTCACGAGCAAAGATGACCAATTGGTATGATACTACAATGGGTTAAATTACAAACAGCAATGAAATGAACAAAAGAGAACGTAAAAGGAATGCTTGCTACCTCTGAACAAATTAATTTGTAAGATCGCCAGCTTTAAACTGTTAGCACCAATTTTGATGGCATTTATATACATGTTTACTGGGTTCTCTGCAGTAATGCATTCAAATATTCTTTTCTTCTCAAACTCTGCTCCAAATAATTTGAAATTTGCTTATGTCTTACTTTGTTTTTAATTAGGACAAACTGCAATCAGTACAGTCAAAAGTCGTTAATCCGGACTCGTCGGGACTTCGGCGATTCCGGATTATAGATCATCAGTTTAAATCTGGTAAGATGACATGCAGAAATTACAAAATTAAAAATACGAAACCGTAATTTATGAAATAAAGAACAATTATGATCTAAAGGGTATCAAAATTTACAAAAAAAAGCTTAATATTTATTTGTTTACTTTATTAAACATTTCTTTCAATGTAAGTTGTTTAAGTTGCTTCGTTTCATGTGATAATACTTTCTCTTTAATTCTATTAAACAGACATAATTTCTTGTTTAGTTACAAAGTTCCGCTGTACAAGTCCTATAATTGCTTTAAATCATATTAAACGGATATGATGCATCTCGGAAGGAATATGGAACATGTTCTAAGGGGCATAACATGAAATTATGCTACAATAAAGTACATCGACATGAAATACTACATTTAGTAAGGAATTATAAGCCAATAAAACAAAAACATCTGCCGTGAAGATAAGGATAGTGCTGACAGATCAACTTCCAATTCATTACGCGTCACGGCGTTTCCCCTCTCCCCCTGCCGCAGAGCAGCGTGAAATTGATAAACAGATTTTGGATTTTGAAACATACTTTCGCTTTGTAAATCCTTTACATATTAGTAAATATATATCGGAAATTCTATTTGACATAATCGAAAGTTTAAGCTTACTTTTATAAAATTGCTCTAACAATCTGCAAAAAATAATAAGCCGGATCCAATTCGAAGATTAAGGAACAACGCAATCTGCAACATTAACTGAATTAGATAATTCTTACACCATCCATTATACATTAAACGTGCATGCGCACACATATATTTGCAGCCGTAAAGGTCTTACGCGCGAGCGTAAACGCCTATGCACGTGCATCAAAGCAACGCATGCGCAGAAAGTTTGTAGCTTTGAGGTCCGGATTATAGATCATTCCGGATTATGGGTGTCCGAATTAATGACTTTTGACTGTATAGCATGGTGATATTTGATATTTCACTATACAATGCAGTTAATTATATCAAAAATGGTATTTTATCATTTATTTCACCTGGGAATAAAAGGAGGAAAAAAGAACCCTTAACGGATGAAAATTTTAAGTACTTTATGATTTTGCGAATACTATGCAATTCTTTAAATAAGTTTATAAATATTATGAATAAATAAAATTAAAGGTACAACTCTGATATACGCCCTAATTTCACCAAATGTGGCGATATGTGTTCTGCGCTGGTTTTTGGCACGATTGCGTGTTGTATGGCAACCCTGTTGACGTTGAAAAGTCTTTCGCTGGAGTTCGTTGGTTCCCGTCATGCTTTGTGTCTGAGAAGCTAGGGGTGAAAGATTTAATGGTGAAAGTTGTTGAATTGAAGTTCGGCATAAGGAAATATCGTCGTGGTCATCCTGTTGAGGGGCAATGGGTATTTGGAGGTGTGGAAAGAAGGTATGGGAGATTATTTTTAGTGGTTGTGCGTCAAAGAAGTAGGGATTTGTGATTATTTGTTATTTTATTTATTTGTGAACCATAGTATGAATTTTCTGTATAGTGTGTGGCTGTCATATAAATACGATACTAGTGATTACGTGGCGGCATGTTAAAGGCGGTATGAAATTGGTATATCTGCTCTTCGAAAAAGCATTAATGGTAAGTGCATTTTATTTTATTCTTGTTCTTATTTTGTAGAATGTAATGTTCATTGTTTTTTTTAGTATGAATTTCTGTCGTTATTGTTATTTTTTTGTTGTATTGTTGTTTTTTTTTAATTGTTTGAAATTTATTTTAGTTATTTTGTTGATTAGTGCGTACTATCTGAATTGTGCAATTCGTGGATGTTTTTTAAAGTTGAAACAGAACTCTGTGTACATGGTATTCTTTGAAATTTATTGTTATGTTAATTTATTAAAGAGAGGTGTGCGTAGTTCATAAATTCGTTCGTTGCCTAGATTGTGCCATTCGTAGATGTTTTTTTAAATTAAAACATATCGCTGTGTACATGGACTCTTGTAAAATAATTTTGGTTAGAAACTTCACGGTTTTGCTATCTAAATTTTTTGTTTTTGTTTCGGATTTTTAGCTTAAATTGTGTGTTCAAAACGTTGTTTTTGCATTCGCGAAAACCGTGTTTTTGGAGACATTTTAGGCTTAAAGTTCAAAATGTAGACAAAAAATTTAGATAGCAATATGGCAACGTGGAGTTTCTCACCAAAAATATTTGGCGCCTTGAGGGCGCATATCAGAGTAGTTCCAAATTAAAAATTTCAGCAGAAGGCTGAACTACCTTTGAACAAGACAATTGAATGTCAGTAGTTGCATTATATGTAGAGTTCAGGGATCAATAAAAATGTTGTATGAATTCTTTTCTTCTATTTTAGAATATTCCTTTCAAATAAAATGCTTAAAGTAAGCCACATATAAGTTTCTCTAAGAAATCCGGCCATGAAAACAACACCTCCTAAAACGAACTTTCATGTAGTTGGCTGTGGTCAGTCAGCTTCGACTAGCTAGCACAAACTAAGATTTCCATTCAGACAATATGATTAAAAATCATTTGATTGCAGTATTTCATACGATAATCTTGCCAGAGGATGAAGATATTGAACACAATCAAAAACTACAATTACAGAACAGAATGACAATTATGCATTTCTAGTAATCAAATTTGAATACTTATCTGAATGGAGAAGATAAAAAACAAATTAATTGACAGCAGTGACTGCAGATTATGATAAAGCATCACCAAGCTGTGGAAACTCTCTAAATCAGGTGATGTTATCAGTTTGCTGAAACCATTTCTTCAAGATTTAGGGTTGCCATTTTGATTATGTAACTGGACTTTCAAAATATCACTTTATTTTATTTCTTGTTGATGGTCATGTGTGTGACATAGCTAGTGTCCAAAGGTTGTAAATAATGTGGATTTTGCATATTTCTTTGGTTTACAAGATAAGGGTAAAAACAGATGTAACAAGTTTGTACAAATGTTGGTCACATTTATTTGGCTCTTCAATGCACAAGATCAATATAATGTAAGAACTGGAATTTCCAAGAGACATATACCTGTGAGTAACATATTTATGAGTAAAAAATGTACAAATCAGTTTATTATGAACGAGTTGAATGTGAATGACCACAGTGTTGTAGACTGGAAAATGTTTTATACAGAGATGAGTGTGAAGAGGTATTTGAGAAAAAATGATGTACAAAGATTTATTACTTTTTTATAGATTTGATTCCTACGTTTATACTTTCGGTTAGAGTACATTGAAGGGTACCCATTGTATTATCGTGAAGTTGTTGTTACATTTATGGTAGTTGAATGTTATGGAAACCCTATATAGCGTAATTGTTTGTGCGATTGTGGTAAATTTTTAATAATCAGAAAAGATTTGCAAGGGCTTGTGCTGTGTGTTGATTAGGAAGTACATTGCTTGTTTTGTGGTTTAGATGGTAGAATGGTTGAATGTCGTAAGATTAATTTGAAGTTTCTGTTGAATTGACTGGTGTGTAAATGAAGGTTTACTTAATAATAAGTGTCCTGTTTGTAGGAAGGAAATGTGTTATGGTCGAACATCAAATGATATTTTTTACTCTTATTTTTGTGAATTTCTATGGCAACGCTGATATACAGATTCTAATTCAGATAATTTTAGGAAGGTTTTGGATGCTGTTAAGGAATTTTGTTTGACTGAAGACAGAGAAATTTGTAAATAAGGTGAGTGGCTATTTCCTTTGTATAGTGCTAAGATGAATTTCCTTTTTATGTTATTTCATTGTTTGATTTAAAATATAGTTTATTGAGATTATATATATATTTTTTTATTATTATATTATCTGCTCCTTTGACTTTTTAAGTAAATATAAATCGATGTGTACATGGACAAAGTCAAGGAAGTGCGCAGTGCCAAGTTTGTGCAATTCTCTAATTTTTTTTTTAGTGAAAATAGGTTGATGTGCACATGGATACCAAGTTTATGCAATTCTTTGACTTGCTATTTTGTCTTTGTGTTGCGGTGAAAGCCAAAATAATAAGTCAAAGAATTGAACAAACTCGGTATCCATGTATTACCAATTTTAGCCAAGGGGCACCTGTAAATATATTTTTACCATACTTTCTAAATTGATTAATAAATTTGATTTATATACAATTCAAAATTAGAAATATTTTTCGCTAATCTTTGGAATATGGTAACAGGTAGTTTGGTGACATTTTGGTAAGGCGATAAAGGTTACTAGCTAGGACTTTAGCAGTGTACATGGATAAAGTCAAGAGTGTGCGCAATGCCATTTTTTGTGCAATTCTGGGATGTTTTTTTAAGTGAAAATAGGTCAATGTGTACATGGATACCGTGTATGTGCAATTCTTAAAAACGCGGCAAGCAGTTTGCGATTCTGCACTTTCTCCCAATTTCGCACCTAATTTTCATCATGATTAAGCACTTTTGTTCCATAAAAGTTGTAGCATAAGCGTAATTCGGATAGCAGATTGTTGGAAAAAAATTTTGAGGAAAAAAAAAAAAAAAATGCCTTTACTTCATGAAAACAAAATGGGGTCCAAACAAAAATTAGCAGGTTGCTGTAGCAGGGTTGGTCAGCAAATTTTTGCCAAAAATCGCCAAGTTACCATAATCCAAAGATTAGCCATATTTTTCAGTAGATGTCTATTATATGTCGTTAAGTACACAGCTAAATTGTGGGCAATTTTGAATTTTATCTTTTTCTACTTATTACAGTTGTGAAAAACTAGCCCATAATCTACAGTTTTACCTGATTTCAAGTTCTATAACTCATTAAAGTTCATCTACATTTAACATTACACTAAAAATTATGAAAGCTCAGCAGAATCTATTATTCTAATAGAAACTAAATGCCCTATCGCAAAAAGAAATTTATAAGTTAAAAAAGGGCTAAAAACTATTTCATATAACAAATGACATAAATGCTCTTATTTTTCGATTGTTAAGAACATTGTAACTAAAAATAAAAATTTCATATTATTTTAATTATATAGGTGGCCCAAGAAATATACAGGTTTGAATGCACAGTTTCACTTATGTATGAATATTTTTATAAGCAAGTAGCAGGCAACTGTATCTTATAAAAAGGAGGCAATGAAATACACATCTGCATGGGACAACCAAATTACTAAGCCAGCTTTATTTATGAATCTACTAAACTGCTTAATATAATAGACATATACATATAAAATTAATTTGTAAATGTCTAGTAATGAATATAATAATAATTTCATATGAAAAACAAAAAGAATAAAAGTTACTTAATTTCAAATAAATTTTAAAAAGCGAAAACAAATTTTAATCATCTTTATTTTTCTAAACCAAAAGTTGTTCCCATACTCAGAATTTTTTATATGAATTTATATAAAAAAGGGGGGAAATGTTAAAAATACATAAGACTTGATATATACAAACAATACACTTGCTAAAATAACACAAAAAAAAAAAAAATTAAAGATTAGAATAAATCACAATTTTTTATTAAATCCAACAAAATAATAAATACCTGAAACTACTCTCATGAATTTTCATATGTCGATTTAAATGAAAAGCCCTTGTATAACTCTTGTCACATTCATCAAATGGGCAAATAAATGGTCGCTTTAAGAAAAGGCAGTTTATTAGTTAACAGAAAAAAGGAAATAAGTAAGTGATAAAAAAAAAATGAGATGTAAAATTCACTGATTCATTTTATCACATCATTTAATACCTACAGCAATAGTTAATTTCCTTTGTTTAGCCCCCTTCCCCTCTTCCTTTTAGCCCCCTTCTCTCTGGAAGGAACATAAATTAGTTTAGGTTATAAACCTTAACTAATTTACATTCTGTCACAACAAATATATTTTATTAAACATTTTTTTATATAATGAAGCACTTCTTTCTTAAAACATCATTGCATAAACCTTTGGCGACATTTAAATTTGTAAGTTAAAAATAGAACGATTAAGGTTGCCAGTTCTGGCGATTAAACACTGTGATCGCTTTTAACACTTTGATTTTGAATTATGATTATTATTAGTTTTTTTTACTGTTTTCTATCCAGGTGAACAAAATATGTCAAAAATAACATAAATTTAGCATTCGGGATTTTTTTGGAAAATCAGTTTTCACGGCTAGGGCTGGGACATAGTTTATGGTGGGATACATATATCCCACACACGTAGCGATCTAATTACTATAAGCACACTTATTATTCTGAAAACCTTATCATATATGATTCTTATACGAGATAGATTTACATCATATGGGACAGAGTAAAGCATTCTTTGCATAACCCAACATTACACACTGGGCAAATCATATTTGTTCTTTTCTCTATGTTCATTTGTATACAATGAGCACAGTGGCATCTTGATTTTCCAACTATTGGAAGATGATCCCCAACATTCAGGAGATTCTAAGTACTTTTTAACCCAGCAGTAATTTTTTAATTTTTAGTGGGACATATATGTCCTGTTAGTAGTCAAAGGGTGGACAAGGAAACATCAAAAAAAAAAAAATTCCATAAAGCAATTAAAATTATAATATTCTATTCATGGTGATTAACATTCCGTTAACATAAACATTACAGAGTTTTATAATGATAGAATACCCAAAAATTGTTTTCAAACTACCTGTAAATTCATCTAACTATGACGAATGTCTTAAATGAGATGCTAATAAAAATTTTAAATATTCGAGAATTTTAATCTGATATTAAAAAGAAGCTTTAAGTTTGTATGAACATTTCAAAACCTAATTCTCAGAAATTAAAGCTAAGAAAATATTTTTAAATTCTTTTCTATGGTTAAGTACTTTGTATAACAAATGAAGGAGATATTTTAGTGTTAATTAATCACAAGGTTCTGATAAAAAGGATAAGGAAATAATGAAGTAATAAAAATTTAAATACTTCGCCAGAGTGCACTCTCAAATGACTTTCATACCGCGTACGACGCTTAAATACACTGTTACAATTTTCGTGCGGACAAACATATTGTTTGTGACTTTTAGACATTATTATTCATTTGGTTTTCGGTTCTACATAAGACCATATCAAAATGCACGCCGTTTCGTTGTTTATGACAGACTTCAGTTAATGTTACAGTTACGTTTTTGCCTGAAATACATATTTTTAATACATTTGATACTTTCTGGAAGAAATATTTTTTTCTACTTATTTTTGAATAAATTAATAATTCTTGCAGCCTTATTAGAGATATAAAAGAAAAATCATTGAAAAAGTAGAACAAGAAATTTAAAAAAACAGAAAACTGAATCGAGGAAGCTTTATTAAATAAATATATTATTCGGAATTTTCTCACGCAGCATATTATATTTGGTTGTTTGAAAACTCGATTTTTCGTTAAAGTATGTTTTCTGTTGCATACTTGGAATCTACTACACCTAAGGAAAACTAGCCTTTAATTTCCAGGAAAATTGCATGCAGTCACTCATCTAAGAAAACTAACAACAGGTTTTCTGAACTGTGGAGCAAAAAAAAAAAAAAAAAAAAAAAAAAAAAAAAAAAAAAAAAAAAAAGGGCTTAGGGAACTACATTTATTTTGAAACTAAATTCTTCGCGGAACATTGAACCGTTTGATAGCTTAAAATTAATTTACTTTTAAAGATTTAGTTATATTTTACACAGATTCGTATGTTTAATTTTTCACTATGCTTTTGAGATTTTTTAAATACAGGATGGTTTCGCAGTTTTATTTTTCGGATGTGAAAATAGTTTCTATAGTATGGCAACACCATAACAAAGCAGACGGCTTTTTGTTGTGTTAATGGTTGTGATGCGTAACAATCTTTTACTCCTTAGCTGTATTACCGTATAATTTATTTTATAGGTGTAACAAATAATGATACTGAAATGGAATTAATTCAGGATCCTCATATTGGTGTATTAACCCCTTCTGAAACAATTGATTATAAATTAATCCGGGGCAGTTATTTGTATTATCATTACTTTTGTGATGGTATTAATGACTCGGTAAAAAAACAAAAATAATGCTCTTATTAGACAAAAGAAAATCAAGGTTTTAGTTGTTTTGACGATAATTATCAGTTGTTATTTAATCCATCATTATTTTTATTTATTCTGTCGTTTGCAGGGTTGGGGATGTGGTTACCGGACATTGCAGACAATATGCTCATGGATAACGAAGCAACAAAATGACACTAATCTGTATACCTCGGTTCTAGCTAAAGTAAGCTGCATTTGTATTATATTAATTGATAAAAAAAACTGTTGAGTTAGTCCTTATTCTTAATTGTTTATAGGTTCCTTCCATTGCAGAAATTCAAAAAGTTTTAGTTGAAATTGGTGATAAAGCTGCAGACTTCCAAGGTTCGCATCAGTGGATTGGGAGTGTTGAAGTTTCATACTGCTTAGAATACCTCTATAAGGTAGTACTTATGTGTATGCTTTTTTATTTATGCTTATCTTATAATTAAGATAAATGTTAGCATATATGTAGGAACTGGTAGATAAAAAAGGACTGAAGTGTTGGAGAAAGGAAACTTCTAGCAATTTATGTTAAAAAATTATATGAGTTATTAATACTGATATTATATTATTTATACATAAATTAGGTTAGGTTAGGTTATTTAATTATGGCAAAGTCTCAAGAGCTATTTGCCTAAGGGGAGGGATGCCTTCGTGGAGTACTTTCTAAGGGAAACTGGCTCGTATGCACGTTACACATGGGGAAAACCACGAAAACACCCATGTAGCCAGCCTGTTCACAGGATTCAAACCTCGGACCGAACTACCAGTGTTTAGCGACTTTACCGCTCAGCCGCTGATGGGCCTTATACATAAATAAATACTCTGCTTTAAAATGCATAAGTAGTAATGTTTTTCTTTTGATTCACATTTGATGACTATTCTGTAAAATTAGGAAGCAAATCAGCATTCATGGGGAAGCACTTATACAAAAAAAAACCTGGTAAATATAATTACCGCCAACAATAACGATAATAGTTCAAACTTGGTTACTCAACAAATTCAGAGGTAGCAACCATTCCTCTTATATATATATATATTTGCTCCTTACATTGCTGTTCATAATTTTGCATGCCCATTAGTGGCCGAGCGGTAAAGTCACTGAACACTAGTAGTTCAGTCCAAGGTTCGAATCATGTGAACAAGCTGGCTGCATAAGTGTTTTCATGGTTTTCCCCATGTGTAACATGTATACGAGCCAATTTCCCTTAGAAAGTCCTCCATGAAAGCATCCTTCATTTTAGGCAGATAGCCCTCGAGGCTTTTCTGTAATCAAACAAAACCAAACATAATTTTGCATGTTGTAGCATCACATTCATTGTTTGCCTTTGCATATGTAACTTATGCTTTACTTATTCAGTATTATTTTGTCAAATTCCCATGCTATCTTTTCTCAATTTTTTTTAACAATGAATAGGTGGAATTGACTGATCTTTAGAATATGGTAACTGGTAGTTTGGCGACATTTTGGAGGCGATAAAGGTTACTACCTGGGACTTTGGTAATAAGTGGAGCAGTACTCAGTTCCGATACGCATTATTTTGTGTGAGGGAAATGAGATCATGGGATATGTCATGTGATATTAATGGACGAATTACGGTTCTTTAATCGGAAAAGGGGGGTAAATCAGGAAAAAATCTGGAAATTTTGTATTTGGCTTATTCTTGTTTGTGAAACAGTGTTCATTAATTTTTGGATCCCATGGCCCTAACTAAAGTGAATTCGAAATGGGTATTTAGTGGGATTGAAAGGGGTATTAATAAAGTTTCTTTAAGGTTGTGCGAGATAGAAGTAAAGATTTTTATTAAGTTTTTTTTAAAAACTGGTACCTTTCTGTGAACTATAGTATGATTTTAAAGATCCTGAAACAAGGCGCACAACGCTTGCTTTTTATTTAGCAGATGAAATAAGAAAGTTTATCGACACGTAATCAAGGTTCTGAAGAAGATTAGGTAAGTTAGTATTTTTAATTATTTGAGGATATTATTTTTATGCATTGTTCTAAACGTAAGGTGGAAGTAAAGTAATTTGGTATTATTGGGAAAATTGTTATTAGCAATGATTTAGTTTAAAGTAATTAGGATTGTAAGCTAATTTTTATTAATTAATGTATGTGCTTATTATATTTTAAGTATGTTTTTGAATTTAATTATATTTTAATTAAATGATAGTTTATTTTGTGAATTTTATGTTTGTAGGAATTGGTTATCGTTTAGTTGAAGTAAACATGCATGAAAATAATTTAAAATATTTGACACTAAGTATTTGTAAGTTTGCGGTATGAATTCGTTGGTAACGTATATAATATAATAGATAATTTAGAGGTAAAGTTTTTGGATATTTTATTTATTTATACATGGAAATGTTCATATTTGGAAAGGGTATATATACTTTTTCGTTATTAGGTAATTTCATATATTCTTTTCTTTTAAGGGTTTAAAGATTCAGAAAATTGTCATGCATTTTCGTGAAATTTTTCTAATTTATGAGAAAAAAAAAAGTGTACATGGATATGTGAAAGTGTGCACAATGCCATTTTTGTGCAATTCTGGGATTTTTTTTTTTTAAGTAAAAATAAGTCGACGTGTACATGGTTTAGTGATATTTTAATTAAATGATAGTTATTTTGTGAATTTTATCAAAAACATGTTCACCTCAAACAACTGATCAGCGAAGATTCTGATGCAGCTGATTAAGGAGTACATGGCAAAGGCAACAACTATTATGACGAATGAATATTGGACATATTCATTCTTAGGCAGGCATGTGTGTTATAGGCATCAAACTGTTAATCATTCCACAAATTTTCTTAATCTAGCATCCAGCAGTTGGTGCACGTACCCATGTCTAAAGAACATGAAAAAGCAGTCTCTGAAAGTAAAATTATTACAAAAAAACAAAAAAAAAAAAAAAAAAAGGTGGTCATCACAAGGAAAACTAGAGCTGATCGTGAAGTTGAATAACTCATAGCGGTATGAAGTTAAATATAACAGCAAGATCCATTCATGGAAATTTTATGTGAAATTAAATATTATATCCTTTTAGGGTAATATGTCTCCAGCAACATACTTTTATTGGCATAAGTTTTTGAAAAAAAAGGAGACGTTTTTTTTCAGGGCCATAAAAATCTGAAAAAATCAAATGAAGTATTGCTAGATATAAGAGTGCAAATTTTTTTAGCTCTTTTATAGCGATAGAATTAGAAATATATTTCAATAATAATATGAACATTTACTTTCCTTTTTTATGTTAATCTTTACTTACATATGCAAAGCATGCTTTTCTACCAACCTGAATTGTATTAAATATCATGCTGAATCAGATAATTTATAACTGCACATGCTTAATATCATGCTTTTCTGTTAACTGAATTTAATTGTGCTAATTATCTTGTTTAACAAGCTATAACTTTCATGTGCTTAATATGTTTAATCAGTTAATTTTTAACTAAATTTACCTTACATATGCTTAATAATATGCTGTGCAATAAATATCATGTTTAAAACACTAAATTTTGACTTATATATGCTTTACACGTATTGATTTTCTACTCTTTACATTGGCAATTTTATTTTTATTTTATATTTTAATTTTTTTTTTTAATTCATTGTCAATTTATTTTTAAATTCTTAAAATTCCTTTTCTTAAAATTTTTGTAATTCACTGCTTTTGATCTACTTTTGGTTTTAAATTACTATCCCAAGTACCCACAGCAAACAGTCCTGCAACATGTAATTGCTTTGACACTCATGTCGAGTATGTTAGAGGCTTAATGTAGCTTTTTTGACGTCACAGCAACTTTACAATAAACCAAAATGAATAGAATAATTTTATGGTGATTTCCGTTATGTTTTTACCACCAATCCTCGAATTCCATATCACAGATTATGTTCTTACTGCATTAATATAAATATTAACAAGACATAGTGCACAATAAAAATTAAGCTTTATTTAGGAACTTCGCGCACACTGCCCGACAGCCTGCCTGTTTCGCTCTGCTCGCTACTCGTAAGAAACTTCTCCTCTAGGGTTGCCACACTTATCGGAGGGCGCAAGGCGCGCTCCTTATCGCCATCACCACAGAGTTTCCCCCCAGTTCCTTTAATGGCTATTCAAAGGAACGACATAGGTTATGAAATTATCTCAGAGTATCCGTACTGTCGGGTATTTTTTACATGATTACAAAATTAGAATATAAAATTAGAAAAGATCAAAATGCAATTCAATATATAACAAGGTATTGACACATATAATAAACATGAAATAACAAGAAATATGTTAAGATATGAATTTTAAAAAAAATGTTTTAAATTGTTATGTAAGAAGCAAGTTTCTTAGGGAAGTGAACATGTCTTCCCGATCTGGTGACAGTTTGTGTCTTAGAGAGTTCGTTTGCAGATTTATTTATTCTGCTGAACTGTCTTTAAGTCTTTATTTGTTTTCAGTTCAGGCAAATTAGAGTCCGAAAGCAAATAGGCTGGTTTCACACACGGTCTATAGACACAGTAGATTTCAGACCGTTAATATCAATTGTGAAAGTTTTGTCCGTTCTAGAAAGGACTTTATGCGGACCTGTATATGGTTGGCACAGAGGTGGCTTTACTCGATCGACACGTAAGTATACATGCGTACACGACTTTAAGGTAGCACTTACGTAACATTTTTCTTGGCAATGTGCAGATGTTGCTATTGGATTCAATTGTTGCATTCTATGCCGAAGATTCGTGATAAATTGTGTGTCATACGGAGATATCTTAGATGACGTTATCATATCACTAGGCAGCTTGAGAGTTGTGCCGTACACCAGTTCAGCACAAGATGACTGTAGATCTTCCTTTACGGCTGTCCGAATACCAAGCATAACAACTGGTAGTGTTTCAGTCCAGTTATTGGTCTCGTGAGCCTTGAGAGAAGATTTTAAATGTCGATGAAATCGTTCAACAATGCCGTTGGACATTGGATGATAGGCTGTTGTTGTGATTCTGTTCGTACCCAAAATGCGCGTGAATTCTGCAAAAAGTGCGGATCTCATTTGAGAACCTTGGTCTGTTGTTATGATCGATGGGCAGCCAAAACGAGATATCCAACAGTTGAAGATGGCTCTGCAAATGGTTTCCGTTTTCATATCCGGGATGGGAATGGCTTGGCTTCAGGCCATCTGGAGAATCTATCTATTAGAGTCAAAAGGTACACGTTGCCTTCTGATGGAGGTAACGGTCCGACGATATCCATATGGATTTCTGAAAAACGTGCATCAGGAAGAGAGAATGTGCCCAGTGGTGCTTTAGTATGCCTAGTAATTTTCGATTTTTGGCAAGATTCACAGGATTTCACCCAATTTTTGATATGACGTTTCATATCGGGCCATACATAACGAGAACAAATAAGCTTCGTAGTAGTA